CCATGGGATGGAACAGTAATCCACAATCATACTGTCTACACCACACACCATGGGACGGGACAGTAATCCACAGCCATACTGTCTACACCACACACCATGGGATGGAACAGTAATCCACAGCCATACTGTCTACACCACACACCATGGGACGGGACAGTAATCCACAATCATACTGTCTACACCACACACCATGGGATGGAACAGTAATCCACAGCCATACTGTCTACACCACACACCATGGGACGGGACAGTAATCCACAGCCATACTGTCTACACCACACACCATGGGACGGGACAGTAATCCACAATCATACTGTCTACACCACACACCATGGGACGGGACAGTAATCCACAATCATACTGTCTACACCACACACCATGGGATGGAACAGTAATCCACAATCATACTGTCTACACCACACACCATGGGATGGAACAGTAATCCACAGCCATTCCGTCTACACGACACACCATGAGATGGAACAGTAATCCACAATCATACTGTCTACACCACACACCATGGGATGGAACAGTAATCCACAGCCATACTGTCTACACCACACACCATGGGACGGGACAGTAATCCACAATCATACTGTCTACACCACACACCATGAGATGGAACAGTAATCCACAGCCATTCCGTCTACACACCACACCAAGAGATGAAACAATGTATGTTAAAGAACTTTACAAACTGCCAATCACTATAATCCAGCAGTGGCAGATGAGCAGAAAGACAAATGTCACCTTCTCAATCACTTATAGAAACAGATGTCAACCAGTAGAAATACAACAGTGGTCACCAGAGACAGGGGCAGGGAGAGGGAGGCAAAAGATTATTAGGAAGTGCTTTTTAGGTGTAACAAAAGTGTGGCAGGGGAGGGAATAGGAGTCATGGACAAGAGTGGATAGATTTGATCTATGCAGTGGGCATACGCATGCATGGAAATGCTCCGGTGAAACCTATTACTATGCAAAACCCATACACATTCATTAGAACATATTTTAATCTTGAAAATAAAAGGACTAGCTAGGGGCTTGGCTCAGCGGTTAAGAGCACTGGCTGCTCTGCCAGAGGACCCAGGTTCCCAGCAGCCACGTGGTAGCTCACTGTTGTCTTAACTCCAGCTCTAAGGTCTCCAACCCCCTCATCTTCCTCCACTGGCCCCAAACACACACGTGGTACACAGACATACATGAAAGCAAACTACTAGTGCATATTTTTTTAAAGTCTCAATACTAGGCACTGTGGAGCACACCTTTAATCCTAGCACTTGGGAGGCAGAGGCCGGGGTATGTCTGTGAGCTCAAGGCCAGCCTGGTCATTATATAGTAAATTCCAGGCCAGCCAGAGGTACATGGTGAGACCAACCCTTTCTCAAAAACAAAGTAAGTAAACAATAAAGAAGGCCGGTGAAGGACGTCTCCAGACACAGAAGAAGGGAGACGAGGCACTGGGAGCAGGCGCGAACAGGAATACTTAGTGACGTCACTGGAAACGAAGGTTAAGTTCACAGTCATTGGTTCCATGTTTTCTCATAGTAGAAAGGAACACTCATCCAAAAACATAATTTCTAGATACCTGAAGAGAAGAGGTCTACCCAGTATTAGTCTTTGGGGAAAAACAGAGTTAAACGGTGGCTTTGGTGATTAGAACCTATGGAACCGAAGTAATTTCACGTCTCACGTGGAAAGACTGAAAGGAGACCCAAGTGCTCTGGGCTGAGCTGTGTCTCCAGGTTTCCACGCGGAAGCCCTGGTCCCCATCACAGCATGAAGATGAGTTTAGAGAACCGGGCTTCTAAGAGGTGACTGAGTTCCAATGAGGCCGCTAGTTAGCGTGTGCAGGAGATTCTGCAAGGGCAGGAAGAGGTCACCTACACACAGGAGAGAAGCCTTGCAATGGAGAGAATCTACCACTCCTTTTCGGGCCTCCAGACTGTGGCCTTCTGTTAAGACGGTTCTCCTAAATGACACATTTGCTGCTGGGTTTTAGGGGTGTTGGAGGGGGGCACTCAAAAGAAAAAGGTATCTGCAAAAGTAGTCCATAAAAATGAGATAAGCAAATTAAAAACAATCCTTATGGATATTTTGTAGTTATCATCACTTATCATGGAAAAGTAATCTTAGAATTTTCTAAGTATAAATTTGAGTTGACAAGTTCTGTTTTATAATCCACCACATAGGGCAAAATTATTAAGTCAGTGTGATTTTCTTCCTATTTCAAATTTCTTCGACAACAGAAATCAGCCTCTCGTACAGCAGCTGGAGGAGAGAGACCTGATACAGTGGGCCCAGGAATTAAACGCTGACATTTAGACCCATCATAGACCACACACACACGCGCACACACACACACACACACACACACACACACACACACGCGCGCACGTGCACACACACGCGCACGCACGCGCACACACACGCACGCGCACACACATACACAAACGGCCACCACTGCCTTACTTGTGTCTTTACTTTGAAAAAGGAGAGCACAGTGGCACTCATATCAGAGTGACTTTTGGCTTGGTACATAAATATCCCTCCCGAAGCTCATGTTAAGGCTTAGTGGCCTGCCTCCTGGTGGTCCTAAAGGAAGGCGGAGTCTTTAGAAAATAGGACCTGTGAGAGGAAGTCAGTCAGTGTGGAATATCCTGCACAGGGACAGGGACAGGGGCCACCATAAAGAGCACTGCTTTGCTTCAGCACGATGTTCTAATAGACACAGATCTGGGACACTTTGAGTCAAGTCTCTGCCTTTCCCCCTTACCGGCCAGCTCTCTCAGCATCCCTCACCATCATCAGCATCCCTCGCCATCATCAGCATCCATCCCTCACCATCATCAGCATCCCTCACCATCATCAGCATCCCTCACCATCACCATCATCCCTCACCATCATCAGCATCCCTCGCCATCATCAGCATCCATCCCTCACCATCATCAGCATCCCTCACCATCATCAGCATCCCTCACCATCATCAGCATCCCTCACCATCATCAGCACCCCTCACCATCACCATCATCCCTCACCATCATCAGCACCCCTCACCATCACCATCATCCCTCACCATCATCAGCATCCCTCACCATCATCAGCACCCCTCACCATCACCATCATCTCTCACCATCATCAGCATCCCTCACCATCATCAGCATCCCTCACCATCATCAGCATCCCTCACCATCATCAGCATCCATCCCTCACCATCATCAGCATCCCTCACCATCACCATCATCCCTCACCATCATCAGCATCCCTCGCCATCATCAGCATCCATCCCTCACCATCATCAGCATCCCTCACCATCATCAGCATCCCTCACCATCATCAGCATCCCTCACCATCATCAGCATCCCTCACCATCACCATCATCCCTCACCATCATCAGCACCCCTCACCATCACCATCATCCCTCACCATCATCAGCACCCCTCACCATCACCATCATCCCTCACCATCATCAGCATCCCTCACCATCATCAGCACCCCTCACCATCACCATCATCTCTCACCATCATCAGCATCCCTCACCATCATCAGCATCCCTCACCATCATCAGCATCCCTCACCATCAGCATCCCTCACCATCACCAGCATCCCTCACCATCATCAGCATCCATCCCTCACCATCAGCATCCCTCACCATCATCAGCATCCCTCACCATCATCAGCATCCCTCACCATCATCAGCATCCCTCTCCATCAGCATTCCTCACCATCATCAGCATCCCTCACCATCATCAGAATCCCTCACCATCATCAGCATCCCTCACCATCATCAGCATCCCTCACCGTCTCTCGCCATGGCTGATAAACACACTGACTAATGCAGCCATCTTACTTCTCAGGGAGTTTCCCTCTGAGATGTAAAAGTGGAATGCTTCCAAGCCTCGGAAGCTTTTCCCTTAATCCCACTGCCACTGGTAGAAAGGAATAGTCCAGTCTGGACGTGCAGTTTCCAAATAACTAATAAGGGCGAGCCAGACACAGGAGGATCCTTACAAATTCTTGACTTCTCCTATAAATATGGACCTCAGAATCGCAAACACAGCAGATTCATGTAACAAAACATAACTGTGTCACTCACAGGGAAGGGACAATTCTTTCTTCACATGCATGTTCTTTTACTTCAAATGTGAAGGGCATGAAATTTAATTTGTTTATTGAAATCCTCGTTTGCTATGCCCATCTACACAAGAACAATTGTTACCGCTGCATTCATTAATTTCTCTGTCGATATCACTCACAGTATTTTATCAGGGTTTTAATCTGAATCCTAAAATAGTGGTGAAATCCAAATGACCTAAAACGTACTTCTTCAGGTCCTTTGAGGTGCCTAGCTTACTGGTGCTAGACAAATCACAGTCCTGAGCTGCAGAACTGCTTCCTATAGGATGGAAAGTCTACACACCTAACAGCTGGAGGCTCTCTGGGCCCCGTCCTCAGCAAGTGGCATTCGACTCCCAGCTTCCGGATCTGACCATTCTGGAAACCTCGCACAGGGGGACAAATACCTCACCTGTCTTCTGGGAGTGACTTACTTCCCTTTGCCTAATGTCCTCAAGATCCTGCTGTCTGTAGCCTATTCAGAAGGCTGACAGGCACCACGTTGCCCAGCTGCTTACACGACTGCTGGGTTTCCAAACTCTGATCCTCAGACTTGTGTGGCAGCTGACCCGCTGAGCCACAGACTCAGGCCGTGAACTATGAAACACTGGATTCTGACACTCTAACCAATGCTAAATACCAGTAAGCACTATGCAGTCTCAAGGACTGTGCCAATTTCATCTAGTTGAGAGCCATGTCCTCCAATCCCCATCATTTGCCACCACTAATCCCTGTGATCTCCAAGTCCTAAACAAATCCCTTGTTCATCTTTTGCAGGAGCCCTGAGATTGCATTTAATGCTGACTAAGGCATATGAAGAACAGCAAAGAAATTAAGCGAAAATCCAACTTAACACTCTGAGGGTGACAGGGCAGATGTGAACTCACAAAGTCTGTTTCCAGCTTGCCCATTTCTTGCTTGTAGCTTCTCATCCTGTTGCTGTACATTCCTCGACTTTGAGGTGGAATTTCTCGGACTTCCAAATCCATCTGTTCAAGCTGAAGTGAGGAGAGAAAAATGTGACCCACACAGGTATTCTTTATTGGCCCAAATGTTAATGCTAAGATGACTGGATCCTAAGTCCTGGGTCTGCAGCTGAGGAAGCAGAGCTATGATGCTGGCTGCTTATGATCAGGTTAACACTGGAAATGCTCTGGTGCTCACTTCGCGGTTCAGTGCGCAGCCAGGGAACGGCAGCCAGGAAATGGCAGCCAGGGAATGGCAGCCAGGGAACGGCAGCCAGGGAACGGCAGCCAGGGAATGGCAGGGGTGCTAGCTGCTTGCTTTGCTGAGAATTTGTCTTGAAAAACATGCATTCATCAAAACATTCTCATGAATGTGTCCTCAACATCCTTGGGGCAGCCCACTGTTCAGAGCAACCTGACCTGATCCTCTGACTGTGAGTCTGGGATGGGTGATTGTTTCCTACGGCTCATCCGCCAAACAGCAGCCCGGCTTAGACACAGGAGGAAATTTCTTTGAGAAAGTCTTTCCTAACTAGGAAAATCACATACAACCAATATGTGACCTAGGCGACAGCTTAACTCTTACACGTGAGTGACACCCTGCTCACTGAAACCATAGCAGGCCATGCTTTAGCTATCCGTCAACTTGTAACACTTTGGACATGGGTGCCAAGAAAGACACGCAGAAATGGCTCAGAGCCCAGGCTTTGTAGTGAGACTCAGTGTCCACACTGCAGGCACCACTACTCACCAGCCATGGGGCTCGAACACAGGTCTTCATGACCCTCTGCCTTATTTTTCTCACCTCTAAGAGTAATCTCTTTCCTAGGACAGCCATGAAAATTAACTGAGTAATCCCTACAATGTACTTAAAGTACTGTATCGCTAGATTGACAGTAACTATTGCTATAGTTACAAAAAAAAAACAGAGCAAGCACTTTACAAGGCAGCAGAGGAAGGTGATCTGTACATGCCCCTAAAAGAGGAAAACCCAGGAACAAGAGCAAATTGGCCCAGACTAAGTCAATAACTCCATGGAAAAACACAGCAATGCATTTGCTTCAGAGAGCATGCTAATACAAGCTTAGCGCACACTGTCTACTGGTGGAGACTGAGTAACTACAGCAGAATTACAGAGAGACCAAACAAATGACTGTAAATAAGGTGTGCGCTTTTATAAGAAAACAAGATACTTTTAATTAGCCCCTTTTAAACAGTGATCATGTAAGTGACTGATGTGAAGGCTGAATGTCCCTTCTCAAGCAGAGACAAGCAGTGTGTCTATTTACCTGTCAGTGGCACGCTAGCTGCCCTTAGGGAAATGCCGTGAGTGTGGGCGGGGCCACTTGCAGACTCTGCTTTCCGTTCTATCAATGAATAACCAGAAGCAGGATTTGCTTAACTGTCTTTCCCACGGTCATCATTAATCATTTTAACACTGTGCTTTTCATTTTTTACTTAACTTCCTAAAAAGTAGATAGAGTCTCTCACTGAGCCCACTGCTCACCAGCTGGCTAGCACAGACGTCCCCCCCACCCCCAGTGCCAGGTTCAGAGACAGGAGCAACCTTGTGCAGTTGTGTACATGACTGCTAGGTTTCCAAACTCAGGCCCTCATGAAATAAATCATCACTTATCGAGGCACTCAAGTCTCTGACAGCATCACTGTGTTTTAGTTTTTTAAGATAGCATACAAAGTAGTGGGTTTTACTAAAGCATTTTCACACACTTGGTTCTTGTTTGTCCCCACCCCTCCTGCTGGTCAGCTCCCTCCCCCGTTATTCTGTCTTGTGCCACACACGTTCAATCACCCTCTTTTTCCCTCTCTCCTTCCTGTCAGAACTCCCCACTGCTCACTGTCACCTTCCTAGTCTATGGGCTCCCCTCCCCCACACCTTCTCTCTCAAATCTAGGATCTGTGTAGCAAAAACAAGAAGTCTTTGTTTTTCAGAATCTGGCTTATTCCACTTAGCATAATGGTTTCCAGTTTGGTCCATTTTCCTGCAGATGTCATGATTCCGTTTCCTTTACAGCAGAACATAATTCCATTACCTTTCTCTATCCCTTCATCCAGTTGGAGGACATTGTGGCTGCATCCATGTCTTAGCTACTGTGGACACACGGACATGTAAGTCTCTCTGGGGCGGGACATAAAGTCCCTTGGATACGTGCAGCAGTGGCATCCCTGTATCACTCGGCATCCCACCTTTAGCGATTTAGGAACCCTGCGTATTGGTTCCCACCCTGCCTTCACCAGTCTTCGTTACATCCGCAGTGAAGAAGGCTCCTTTCTCCAACACCCTTGCCAGTATTAGTTACCTTTTCGGGTTTGTTTTACTTTTTTACTTCTTTGAGACAGTGTCTAACACAGCCCAGGCTAGCCTTGAACTTGCTATGTCTCAGAGGAGAATATGACCTCTAACTTCTTCTCTGCCACCTTCTCCTGAGACTGCAGCCTTTGCCACGCCCATGGCTCTGCTGGGCTACAATTCCAGCCACTCTGTCCAGACAAACTGAACCTCCGGGGCTGTTAGTCTGCATTTCCCTGGTGGGTAAGGATGTAAAACATTTTTTTTTACTAGCCTGTTTCTTTGACTGGAAGATTTGTTTTACTTGTGTCTAGTTTTTGCAGTTCATGCTATACAGTTGGCAAAGATTTTTCCCCCATCACATAGGCTGTCTCTTCACTTTGGTCATTATTTCCTTTGCTGTGTGAAGCTTTTCAATTTCATGTAGTCTTATCTATCCGTCTTTGCAGTTATATGTTAGAGTCTTTTAGGAAAGATCTTGCTTCTGCCTGCATCTTCAAGTTTCTCAGAGCTGGAGAGTTGGCTCGGGGTGGAGCCTACTTGCTGCCCTGCAGAGGACCTGCCGGAGTCTGACTGCTACAATCTCTGCAAGTGACGTGCAGCCCCTTGTAACTCTAGCTTCAGGGGATCTGACACCATCTTCTGGCCTCGTGAGCACCCACACACACGTGTGCATACACATGGATAAAAACAAGCCTGCCATAGCAGTTTCAAGCTTTACATAAAGGTCTTTTGTTCATTCTCAACTGACTTTTGTGCAGGACGAGAAGTAAGGATCCAGTTTCAGTTTTCTACATGTGAAACGCAGTTTTCTCAGCACCATTTGCTGTCAAGGCTGCCTGTTTTGCAATGTATGCTTTTGACGCCTATGGGGGGGGGGGACACAGGTGTCTGTAGCTTTTCTGTCAGCTTCCTAATCAAAAGAACAGCACACAATCTAAGATACCACTAAAACTAAATAATTCAGCACATTTTAAGCAAACAGAAATGCTTATTTTGTATCCAAATCTTTATATAATAATAATAAAGTATTGCAAGCTCCATGAGGGCTTGGTTATGGTCGAACCTCAATCCTAAGGAGACAAGTTTTCTCTCGTTATCCAGTAAACAAACTGTCTCCAGAGGGTAAAGAGGGACTCTAACGTTTATAGTCGTCCACCAGCCGGAAGGAAGAAGGGCACTGACTGGCTGCTCTGGCAATAAAGTCGGTGTCTGCACACGGCAGGCAAGAGGTGGGAACCAAGCAGCTATCATAGAAGAACAGAGAAAGGAGACGGCAGGCATTAGGAGATGTGGGAAGAGAGATGGGGCAGAGGGAGTCGCCCAAAGCAGCTGCAGGTCACTCGGGATGGAGACAGCTGGCCACTCTGTCCACAAGGAGAGCGAGACACTGGAGACCGAGGACAACCCTGGAGGTCCCGGTTGTGTCTATCTCAGACCCCAGGAAAGGGAGGCTGCGCAGTGGGGATCAGCTTCCCCTCTGGGCCCCCACTCTGCTGCCTCTGGCACATGGTTCCACTAAGAAGCACCACCCATCCAAGCGAGACTCTAGAGAAGTCTCCGCCTTCCCAGAGCCTCAAATGCCTCCGAGCTTCCTAAGGGTCCAAGGAGGTTCTGAAGAAACCCCGCATTCAAGACCACTCAAGACGCCTGCATCCCTAGCCACATGTAAGGTGGCAACGAAAGCAGCTAGTGGGGGCCCTTCACGACTGTCCTCAGCACAGGTACTGCAGGGGCGCCAAAGGGGGCCCTTCCCGCTCAGAAAAGCCACCCACTCCCCTGGCCCATGATGCACAGCAACAACCTAACAGTTTCTGCAGCACTTGGCTTTCAACATCCAAAACCGGGACAAAATACTCTCCCCTCGTTGGTTCCCTTGGACTTGTTGTCATGGAAAAGCAGTGTATGAGCCGGGGCTCTAGGTGTAGACGCCCAGGCACAAAGCCGACAGAGCCCGCGGGAGGGAGTGGGGCCCCGGGCGCATTTCGAGCCTTTCTAAGCCTCAGCGCTCGTCTATAATGGCGGCGACAACAATCTAGACACCACTCTACTGTGATTCTCTGGTGCTTCTACAGGCTTCTCTGAGCACGAATGCGACGTTCTAACAACTCTGGCCACGTTGTGTCTCTAAGGCTATCCGCACAGAGCAACTGCAGAATGGGATAATGTGTCTCTCTGGGACAAGGGGCGGGCTTGCTTCCGGGCTGCTGTGTGCGGCTTTTCGCCCACGCTTTGTGCTCCAGGTGGAAGCAAGTATTGGTGTCTCCCCTGTGGAAACTGGGGCTCAGGGAACTAATGCAGCCAAGCTGATGTCCCGGCAGCTACTTCGGTTGTCTCGGGAGGCTTCAGTTTCTGACTCAGGAGTCTCATGTCTGGGGCAAATAGTTTTGTCAGCAAAATGACTGCCACCCAAGCAGGAGGACCTGAGTTCTCATCACAGCGACCACATAAAGCGAGGCCGAGGCGAGATGCTGCATGCCTGTGATGTCAGTCATTGGAAAGCAGACACGGGGCCTCTGGCGCTTCATGGGCAGCCACTGTAGCTGAGTCAAGTGAGCCTGGGGTCCAGGGAGAAACTCCGCCTCTACACAGAAAGCGGGGGAGAAACTCAAGGAGACACCTGATGGCAACTTCTGGCCTCCACGCCCTATGTACTTATGTGCACACATACATATGTGCACATGTACCCACACACACACACATGCAAATGAGCATGTGTATATACACACATACACAAGAAATCTCACATCTTCTGTGGGCATCCATAGAGACTGGCAAGCTCCGTCAGCTTCCAAGTTGGTGGAAATCTCAGACCTTTGTCAGTTTTGAGAGACAAGTTATCTAAGGGGGGGGGGGGGCTGAAAGTTAAAGATTATAACACAAACAATGCACTTACCCTAGTGTGTGGTGTGCCTTTACCAAACATTAGCTACCAAGATCTTGTACTAAGAGACCACTTCTTAGGAGTTGTTTTCAAGAGGAATGAAATTAGAGTCTGGCATCTAACGAGCCACCTTTATTAAAAAGAATAAGATCTCTGGAAGCTATTAAACCCCCTTTAATCCGAAAGGGACGAACTGTGAGAGGAGTCTGAGTGCACACTGCTCCACGAGTGTCCCTAGCTACATGGCAGGCTCTGGGGTTCGGCTCACGGGGCTGTGTTCAAAACGCCCTTAAGGCTACCCACCAGTTCTCTGGCCTCTTCAAGTTGCTTCTCCACGTTGGCAACCATCTGCTTCTTCTCATCTAAAACAAGCAATAATATCAAAGAAATGGTAATCATACAACATAAATTGAATATGCAGTACTAATGCTACAACCCTTTAATACAGTTCCTCGTGTTGTGGTGACCCCCAATCATAAAATCATTTTCATTGTTACTATGTTTTCAGGTTATCTTAGACAAACCCTCTGAAAGGGTCATTTGACCCTCTAAGGGGTCAGGACTCACAGGTTGAGAACCACTTCACTAAAGCCTTTTATTTTAATATACCCTTGTTCTTTCTGATCAAACAGATCGGAAAATGTAAAGCAAGCAGACCACTCTTTGGGGACTGGAGAGCTGGCTCATCAATTAAGAGCGCCGGCTGTTCTTCAAGAGGTCCTGAGTTCAATTACCACATGGTGAACCACATGGTGGCTCACAACCATCTATAATTGTAATCTCATGGAATATGATGCCTTCTTCTAGTATGGAAATATAAAGACAAGAAAAACAACCATATACAGAAAGTACATGAATAAATAAATAAATCTTTAAAAAGATCGTTCTTTGGTAGGTTACAGACTATACTGAACATTGACTGTGAAATGTGAGAAAACACATGATCCAAGCAAGGGCCAAATTTTTAAGAGGTCATATATTATAAGGAAGTCTAAAAGAACTTTGTTCCCTGGTAGAGATTATGCCTACAACAGCAGATACAGTGGTGACCTGAAAAATTTTCTAAGTCACTGTTGGAATAAATTGGAATCACTGATTTTTGACTATTTAAAACTCATAGATATCTTTGATCCATTTGGACTTAAGCTTTATGCATGGTGATAGATATGGATCTATCTGCAGTCTTCTACATGTCAGCATACAGTTATGCCAGCACCATTTGTTGAAGATGTTTTCCTTTTTCCATTGTTTAATTTTAGCTTCTTTGTCAAAAATCAGGTGTTCATTGGGGTGTGGATTAATATCAGGGACTTCAATTCAATTCCACTGGTCTACCAGTCTGTTTTGTGCCAATATCAAGCTGTTTTCAGGACTATAGCTCTATAATAGAGCTTATAGTCAGGGATGGTGATGCCTCTGGAAGTTCCTTTATGATACAGGGTTATTTTGACTATACTGAGTTTTTTTGGTTTTCCATATAAAGTTGAGTATTGTTCATTCAAGGTCTGTGAAGAATTGTGCTGAGATTTTGATGGAGATTGCATTGAAGAGAAAGACTTGGTACAGGAGACCATGTCCTGAACATAATGCTAGTAGCACAGACTCTGAGATCAACAATTAACAAATGGGACCTCCTGAAACTGAGAAGTTTCTGTAAGGCAAAGGACACAATCAACAAGACAAAAAGGCAGCCCACAGAATGGGAAAAGATCTTCACCAACCCCACATCTGACAGAGGGCTGATCTCTAAAATATACAAAGAACTCAAGTAGCTAGTCACCAAAACACCAAATAATCCAATTAAAAAGTGGGGTTTAGAACTAAATAGAGAATTATCAACAGACAAATCTAAAATGGCAGAGAGACACTTAAGAAAGTGCTCAACATCCTTAGCCATCAGGGAAATGCAAATCAAAACAACTCTAAGATACCATCTTATTCCTGTCAGAATGGCTAAAATAAAAAACACCAATGACAGTTTATGCTGGAGAGTATGTAGAGAAAGGGGAACACTCCTCCACTGCTGATGGGAGTGCAAACTCGTACTGCCACTTTGGAAATCAGTATGGAGGTTTCTCAGGAAAATGGGAATCAGTCTGCCGCAAGATACAGCATACATCCAAAGGATGCACATTCATACAAAAAGGACATCTGTTCAACTATGTTCATAGTAGCATTATTTGTAATAGCCAGAACCTGGAAGCAACCTAGATGCCCCTCACCCGAAGAATAGACAGAGAAAATGTGGTACATTTACACAATGGAGTACTACTCAGCAGAAAAAAAAAAAGAAATCTTGGAATTCACAGGCAAATGGATGGAACTGGAAGAAGCCATCCTGAGTGAGGTAACCCAGTCACAGAAAGACAAACATGGTATGTACTCACTCATATATGGATATTAGACATAGAGCAAAGGCTTACCAGCCTACAATCCACACCTCCAGAGAAACTAGGAAACAAGGAGGACCCTAAGAGAGACATACATGGTTTCCCGGAGAAGGGAAAAGGGACAAAAGTTCCTGAACAAATTGGGAGGGGAGGGAGGTAGGATAAAGAGGAAGGGAGAAGAGGAGGGGGGAGGAGAACATGAGGGATCAGGAAGATTAAGTAGGGATGACTAGAGGGAGCCATTATAGATTTAAAGAGAAATCTGGCACTAGGGAAATATCCAGAAATCCGCAAGGATGATCCCCAACTAAGAATCTAAGCAATAGTGGAAAGGCTACCATAAATGCCCTTCCCCTCTAATGAGATTGATGACTGTCATAAATGCCATCCTAGAGCCTTCATCCAGTAGCTGATGGAAGCAGAAGCAGAGACCCACAGATAAGCACTGAGCCCAACTCCTGGAATCCAGTTGTAGAGAGGAAGGAGTGATGAGCAAAGGAGTCAAGACAATGCTGGGGAAACTCACAGAAACAGCTCACCTGAGCAAGTGGAAGCTCATGGACCCCAGTCAGACAGCTGGGGAACCAGCATAAGATGGTACCAGGTCCCCTGTACATAGATGACAATTAGGAGGACTGGGCAGTCTATGGGGCCTCTGGCAGTGGAACCAGTATTTATTTCTCATGCACAAATGGACTTTGGGAGCCCATTCCCCCATGGAGGGATGCTCTCTCAGCCTAGATACATGGCAGAGGGCCGAAGCCCTGCCCCAAATGATGTGACAGACTTTGATGATCCCCCACGGAAGGCCTCACTCTCCTTGGGGAGTAGATGGGGGGATTAGTGGGGCTCATGGGAGGGAGAGGGAACTGGGGTTGATGTTAAATAAAATTGTTTCTAAATTAAATTTTAAAAACAATGTATATTTAAAAAAAAAAAGGGCAGGGGCATTCCGAACTTACAGCCCACAGGAGTTTAAAGAACTCTGCTTAATCCTTTGTAGGATCCATGCCTGGATCCTGGAGCAACAAAAGGGCATTTGGTTTAAAAGGGAAAAGAATTCTTTCTGCTTTTAACTAAGATGATGTGGACGTTAGCCAACACCAAATAATATGGATTCAAGACTTGTAGCAAACGTATCAAGGTGTGGCGTTAACAGGGGCCGCTGACATGGGTTTTATATAATTTCTACTGTTCTAAAAGAAAAAAGTGTAGGGCCAGGAGTATAGCTAGTTGAGTGCCTGTTTAACAAGAGATAAGGCTTTGGGTCCAACCCCCAGTACCACAAATACAAAACGAAGCTGTGACTCAAATTGCCTTAACTGTCTAAGGGCAAAAGATCCCTCTGGATTTTTAGTGTAGACAATGTGTGTAAATGTAAACATGAAAACATGTATATATGTATACATGACACAAATTTCTGTGTGTCTACCATCCAAAAAGGACTAAAATCCCATAAATACTTGTTTATAAAGCATAACTGGGTCATAGGTAACAACTGATGGCTGTTTTCCCAATCTCCTCAACTACCAGCTTCAACGGTCATGTAAACTTTCCAGGGTGATACAATTCCTCCATGAGATTCCAGCATCTTAAAAGACACCTGCTTTGGTCCATGGCTGCTACTCTCCCCTCCCTCCCTCCCTCCCTCCCTCCCTCCCTGCTTCCCTCCCTGCCTCCCTTGAGTCCCCTCCTTCTTGATATCCTGAACCAAAACCATTTCCACTTCCACACCCCAAAGCCCTGAGCACTGACTTTTCTTTGAATGCAGGTTTTCATCAAGAGACCTTAACCTCACTCCCCGAGTTTAGGCACAGAAAGGGAGTGAGGATTTAAGTGCAAGGTTCTCTATAAAGTACAGTTAAGAGGACAAAGTCTGAAGAGCTGGGCCCTGGCCAGCCCTGCACTGCTGATTGAAGCACAGCAGATTAAAGATATCCCCCACGACTGGTTTGCTATGCTTTCCTTGCTTGTGTTCCCTGCCTTATTTGCATTTTACAGCATTGTAAGATTGAAATGGTCACCCTTTCCTTCCCATTCTAAGATGGAAAAGGCAAGCTTACAGAGGCCAAGAAATCCATTCACAACCACATGTGCAGTAAGTTTAGGCAGAAGTGAGATCCTAAACTGGTTTGATAGCAGCAGCCACAAAAGATTCTTGGAACATTCTAGCTATAACCCTTCTGTCTCTGAGAATGGGGAGCTAAAAGAGTGATCTGAAGCGAACTTCTGGTGAGGGTCCTCCAAGATCCCTACTGTAATGGAGGCCCTGACTCTGTGGAACTCTCTCCTGCTTAGGGAACTCACCACAGAAGTAGGAATTTCCAAATCAAGTGACTTATAGTCCCAGCTCATTGATTTTTCCAAGAAAACAATAATCATTAAAAATCAATCTTTAAATTCAGTAACCTCAGAGTATTCATTAGGGACTCATCCATCTAAAAAAAATCACAGAGATTAAAATTAATTAAGATTCAAACACTTCAAAGAGCAAGACTTTTTATTGATAAGATATTACATTGTAATCATGTTTCTTTTTAAAATAAAATTTCAGAATTATTCTCTTTTATGTGGAAGTTACTTTTTACATTTACATTATGCATGCACAACAGAGAGTAGTTCATCTCCACAGATTCTGGGCGCTACAACCTAAATACATCATTACTGGGTGAATGAGCTGCTTTGACTTTAAAGTTTGGTCCAATTTTTTTATCTTCTTAACTCAAGAAAATTACAGCTCATCCTTTGGTCTATTTCAGCTGAGTGACACAACCACTATGATGCTGTGGGGGTGTTATAATTACCAGTACTTATAATATTAATTTAATATTAATTAAAATAAAAGTGGTATGCTCAAAAGCACACTGCCTTTGCTTTTAATTATTGTTAGTTCATATGCTCATGGAAAAAATATCTTTTTCTGTCAATTAGGAGCAGATTAAAAAGGGAGCAAACATGTCATTATTGAAAGGAAAACCACTGTATTTTAGAGTCATTTATTTATTCAAGTACAAATTTGTTCCTACAGTGCCAGCGATACAGTCTCCTTCCAAATGAGATGTGGTTGCTATGTTTGGACCTCACATTATACTACATGTAAGAAGAGACATAACAGTATCTTTATTTTTTAAGATACTTAAGTCAACTGTTTCCTTCTGTGTGGTAAGTACTATAAACACAAAGGCAAGAAAATTCAATTATAACAAATCTATTTTCTTACAGTCTTCATAACTCTGTACCCTGGATGACATTATTTTGTAAAGCAGTCACTCAATACTAAAGCTATTTGCCCAAGAAATATTTCTACTGCTAAAAACAAACAAACACATTAAAATTCAAAATGAGCAAAATCCAACTGCAGCTACAAGTCCTGGAGCTCTGAGGCTCTGGGACTCAATTCAAAGGCAGATGTCTCAGACAACAGTGACAACAAAATCAAGATGATCGCGGCCAAACGGAGAAAAGTGGGATTGAAGAGAACAGGTGAGGTGAAGTATCACGAAGGAAGGAGGCCATCATCCACTTTGTCCACCAGAAATCTCTGAGGCAACACAGCTCCGCGGTATATGCTACCTTGGTTCTCTCCTCTTGTTCCCTCACTTGAACTCTACCCTCTTTAAGACATCAGCCACCTCCTGCAGAACTAACGGGGACTTCGGGAGATGAGTGGGATTTAAGTTCAGAGGTCCTGGCTTCAAGCAAATCCCCCTAATAACAGAAAACAGGTGGGGGAGGGAAACAAGGAATAAAGAAAATTATTTATAACACAAAGATTGGGGGGGAACCCTAGGAAGGGGATGAGGAACAACACCTTAGACCCAAGAGAAGCTACTGCTGGCATCTTGGGCTGGGCTGATCAGGTAAGAAAGTGATGTTACCCACAATTCTGCCGACCAATGAGAACCGTCTTTTCCCGACAGTATGCTCCAGAGCTGGAGTAGAGACAAGTTCAGCAGCCCAATGATCGTTCAACCTCCCTAATGAAACCGAGCCAAAAGTAAAGTAATAATAATAATAATAAGTCTCTTAATTTTCTCCTAACTACTTAAGTTAAATCTATACTTAGAGAAAAACAAATCCTAAAACACTATCTTGTAAATCACAAGGCACCATATTACAATCACCTGCTTATTCTAACGAACATTCCTCTGAGCCCTTAGAAAAGAAATGTCACGGAAATCAGGCATGACTCCCACCTTCACCACAACTGCTGACAACCCAGCATGGAGGGTATTTAATACCTGGGAGATGCGGAATTGTAGGAGTGAGCAAAATTACTCTGTACAAAGTCTTACATAAAACCGGGTTATAAACACCCAAGAAGGATGAAAAGCACAGAATCGGGGCAGAGTTCTGCAATCTATGAATCCCAACAACAGCTAACACAAAAGGCGTCACAGACGCGTGTCATTTAACTCTGGATGAGGGAAGTACGATTCTCTCCAACCAAGAAGGACTGACAGATTAAGAAAGCCCGCCTAAGGGACAACTTCGAAGTGTCAAGAGTTGGGATGGGAAGTAAGGCATTCTGGCTTGTCACTGAAACGTGCCGCATGGAAGGATAACAGGGTTACTATTTGCTAAGAGGACAAAGCTGCTGCATCTGGAGATGCAGTCTTGACGCTTTCATACATTTTCTTTAGATACTCTTATCCTTATAGTTTACTCCCCACCTCACCTACCCCACCCCCCCAAAAAAGATGCAGAGCAATGTTTCCAAGGTTACACAAGCTTTAAAAGCCACGGGGTAGAAATCCAACACCACCCGAGACGGTTTCCACGCAGGAAGACTCTTTGCATCGGAAACACACTCCCTGCTACCAGGTCAGGACCTCCCCGGGGCCGCCAGCGCCGCCCACAGCGACCTGGCTCCTGGGAGAACGGCTCGCCCAGGCGGTGTTCCGCCGCCGCTCCCGGCTCTCCAGGCCGTCCCCGGCCGGCCGGGCAGGGTACTCACCGGGAGGGAGCCGAGGGACCCTGGAAATCTTGCCGGTGATCTCAGCCGTGAGCACTGCGAAGTCCTGCTCGTAGCCTTCGAAGTCGGAGGACATGGCAGCTCGGAGACGGTCGGCCGGAGCCGGAGGTCTCGCTCAGGGCAGGACTCACGGAAGGCGCCCGGCCTCGGTGCGGGGGGACCCCGGGAAGAAGGCTGCACAGAGCACAGAACACAGCGGGGACCGGGACAACTCCCAGCCCAGCCGCTTCCTGGTTGTTCTTCTCGATCTCCGTCCCCCGGAAACCGAGATACCTGCGCCTTTTCTTTTCCGCCCAGTCTTCGAGAGGGAAACTAAGGGGAAAACTTCACTTTCTGTGTCGCCTTAAAAACACACACAACTACGAGATCCTGCATGCTCTCGGGGATCACCGAAAGCGCTTCCCCCGCCCCCAGCTGGAGTGTCCCCCGAGCTCTCAGTGGTGGCAGAGGGGGGCCTGCTTCCCGAGGGAAGACGGGCGCGGCGGACCCGCCGGAAGTGGCTCTGGCGGAGCCTGCGCCTAGCCGCTGGGCGGGAGGCTCGTGAACCTGGGCTGTGCGGCTCGCTCGGAGCTTCGCGTTCGTCTTGCTCGGGACTGAAGCGCCCGTGACGGAGCTCCGAGGAGGAGGAAAACCTGTTCCGGGTGAGCCCAGGCAGTCCCGGAAATGCCATGGCCGTGGAGCGGGCCCGGGAGTCGGGACTGAGGTGGGAGTCATCGCCGGGGAGGGGGGGTGCGCCCGGCGAGCGGGCGGGCGGGGGATTTCGCTTTGGGGTTCTCCAAAAGCTTGAGCCCGACCTCACTCAGGAAGACGTTGGTCTCGGGAGAGAAGACCCCCCTCCACGCCCCGGGCGGGAAACTGAGGCACCCGCGGGCGCCACGGCTGCGCGGGAATCGGTTGCGCACCGGTGTGTCGCAGGCCCTTTTCCCCGACTCTTCTCCTCACCCTATTCGGAACTCACTCCTCCACCAACTCTTTCCCCTCCCTCGCCCCCCGGAGGGAATTGATTCTTTTTTATTTATTTATTTTTTCTCCCCCTTATTAATAACCTTGTGGGCCCTCGTTCCCGTGCCCCGGCTCCGGTGGCGAGTTTGCGCGCGCGCGCTCTCCCGCGTTGCTTTTCACCCGTGTTCCTGGACCTTCGACCCCGGCCGATTGCTAACATCGGTGCTCGCGGGAACGACTTGCGGGTTATCGGTACACAGAGTGTGCACTACTAAACCCGCAGCCCCGACTCCCGAAGGAAGTTGGGGGGCCTTGGCTTCTGGTTCTGGGTTTCCGCTGTTACTAGTGACTTTGGCCTAAAATCATAACTCAGCCTCTCTCTCTCTAAGCCAGTTTCTGTTGTCGGGGGTGGGGGGGTTAGATACGTGATAATTAGATAAGACCCCGCTTCTTAGCGCTGTAAGCCTCCGTCCTCCCAAACTGCCCACGGAGCACGGGACAGTCAATCCCTTCTGACAGTTTGAACAAGGGAGTGAAACTGTTTAACCTGCTTTGGAGGTGCCTTGCCACCTTCTCGGAGTTAAAAGAATGGCATATGCCACTTTTAAGCGGAGTTTTCCCCGTTGTGCTTTCTTTAGGTTGAGTTTCAAACCAGTCTAGAGATAAAGTGTTCTGGATGTCCACAGTGAAAATGGCATACTCCAGGTTCACACTCTGTCAGCCAAAGACATGACGGTTCAGGGACACGTGGACTTGTTGTGCACAGCAATGTGTGCACAGGAAAAGGAACTCTCTGGTTCTCCAAACGAAAGAAGGCGTCCAAAATGGGCACATTCTGCTCAGTAATCAAGTTTGAAAATCTTCAGGAATTAAAGAGACTGTGTCACTGGGGTCCCATAATAGCCCTTGGTGTTGTAGCAATATGTTCTACGATGGCCATGATTGACTCTGTGTTGTGGTATTGGCCCTTACATACAACTGGAGGAAGTGTGAATTTCATCATGTTGATAAATTGGACTGTCATGATTGTCTACAATTACTTCAATGCCATGTTTGCTGGTCCTGGCTTTGTCCCTCGGGGGTGGAAACCGGTAAGAAAAATACCCATTTTGACAATGATCATTGCATACTTTTATTTATTATTATTGCCATGATGATTACATGTTCGTTTTGCCTTAGCACCTTTTGTCCTAGGAGACACTGTGTGTGCTAGTCCAGTCACTGATAGTCACATGTGCTTAGAATTGATGGCATTTTGAAATACTGATCTATATTAGCTATTCCAAAGTAACTGAGTGCTTGTTCTTTGGGGTTTTGTTTTTTGTTTTGTTTTGAAAGAAAGAAAGCAACAAACAAACCCTGTGTGTGTGGTAGTTCATGCCTTTGGTCTCCACGCTGGGGAGGCAGAGGCATGATCTGTGAGCTGCCACACGGGCTCAAAGAAGTTCCCAGAGAAGGAAGGGAAGGGGCGGCGTCAGGCTGAGAACAGGCAGGAACACATATCCAGGAAACGGACAGCCTTGTGCGACTGTGCAGCGCAGATCAGGCTGAGGCAGAGGCAAGTAGATCAGAGAGCATGGGAGCTGCTCCTACCACAGGACGTGTAGAGGTGTCGGCGTAGCTCTGGAAGAGCTGGGTAGGAACATAGTTTTGTGATAAACAGATTTGCATGAGAGAAACAACCAGTTAGGGAGTCACTGAAATGCCACTGAGGAGGAGAGGTGACGAGGACAGCATCGAGGACCGGGAGATCTCAGAAAGTGTCAGCTCACACTTCACTGTGAAACACTAGTCTAGTCGTCTGAAACAACGCCTGCTAAGATTCCGGTGAGTAGGACCGACCGACACTAGATTTGGTTTGAGCATGGAGTTAAGAAAAAAGAAAAAGGACCTCGAAGTAGTGTGGAAAATGAAGCTGTTCTTACAATTTATCGCTGTAAAGTGTCTCAGCGTAAATAAAGGCATTTATGTCTCTGCAGAAACCCTCATTCATAAAGCATGACTTGTTACTGTTTAGGAGCAGGTAACTAACATTCTTTTTTCCCCCCTGTCAAGGAAAACCCTCAGGATAGCATGTATCTCCAGTATTGTAAAGTCTGCCAAGCATATAAGGCGCCACGTTCGCACCATTGCAGGAAGTGTAACAGGTGTGTGACTTTTCTGTGTACTGGGGACTCATCCACTTGGTTGGCCGCACTTGTTGTATCTGCTGTCATGACAATAGAAACCATTTTTGTTCTCTGAAAGTGCCTTAGTGAACTTCTCTGCTGCCGGGAGGGTGTACTTGGCTTACAGGCTACAGTCCATCATCGAGGCTGAGCCACAGCAGGAGCTTGAACCGGAAACTGAGGGATGCTGCCTGCTGGCTTACTCTTCCTGGCTTCCTCTCTACCATTTTTACACAGCTCAGGCCCCTTGCCTTGCGGGGGTACTACCCACAGTAGGCTGGGCCCTTGCATATCAATCAGCAGCCAAGAAAATGACACAGATAATTCCTGCAGTTGAGTCTGATGGAGACCTTGCTCATTGAGAACCTCTCTTCCCAGGTGCATGTAGGCTTGGAACAAGCTAACAGAAACTAGCCAGAACAGCAAGGAATCCTTTTTGTCAAAACTATTATCAAAAGACTTGTGTGTAAGATTTGTTCCCAGTTAATTACCAACGAAGATAATTTCTTTCTGTTGTTACAAGGAAAAGATTTTTCTAGAAAAATAGACATACCTTTGCTTGTTGTCCTACAATTAGCGAAGTAAATGTTTTCCTTTCAGTTCCCGTTTGCTGTGTCAGAATTAGTTGCATTTGTTGAGCGCCATGTTGAGTAGCTCAGAATTATTTTGAGTCTGAATTAGACTGGTTTTCTCAGATTCATTCATACATGTTATCAGTGGGAAGAAAACTGGATCATTATAAAAATGCAAAATATGCCAGGACCTCACTCTCAGCAACATCTGTTGATTGATGTGAAATTTAGGAAATCATGAGATACAGCTAAAATCTGCCTTGTTGCTAGGAATCTTTTCTTCAGCAAAGATTACAAGCACTGCCGTCTTCTGTGCTAACACTGTGAGAAAGGAAGGAAGCTGCAGCTGTGTTTGGAGAGTTCTAGAACCATTCTGTAGAGGCACATGGGAACTATACGTCAGTCATGGTGTTTCTGAGCATAAGGAAGACAGCTGAGCTTCCCCCTTGTACTGAGGCTCTTGCGGAGCCTGCCAGCTTCCCTAAAGTGGTAGTGGTGGTGGTGGAGGAGGAGGAGGAGGTGGAGGTGGATTTTCAAGACAGGGTTCCCCTGAGTGGCCCAGGCTGCCCCGGAACTTGTTTTGTAGACCAGGCTGACCTCGAACTCCGAGATCCACCAACCTCTGCCTCAGACATGCTTATTGTAGAAGTTATTGTAACATTTGCTTGTTCTTGTGCTATTTAGAGTTTTAAAGAAGTCAATATAACTTCAAAAAGTCATGAAGATTTATGTGTTTTGTGAGAATTAACTCCCTGTGACTCCTGCACAGACTGGATTCCTATTTGCTTGGTCTTTTGAAAACCAGAGCTAAAGGGGACAGGATTTTCTGCTTTATGCTTCATGAGCAGTTTTTTTTTATTATTATTATTATTAGATGTATAATGAAGATGGATCACCACTGCCCCTGGATCAACAACTGCTGTGGTCACCAGAACCATGCTTCGTTCACGTTGTTCCTCCTGCTAGCGCCTCTGGGCTGCATCCATGCTGCTTTTATTTTTGTGATGACTATGTACACACAGCTGTATAATCGGGTGAGTAGACGTCGTGACACACTGCCTTTCCTGCCAGAGTCAGTGATTTGTCAAGCTTACTGAAGAAGTCCCTTTTGGAAATACACTTGCTGTGATTTAGCTAATACAACAGCTTTGCCTGACGTCTCTGTCAGTTCCTCCTTTTACAAATGAGGAAAAATTGTTTTATTCTGGAAACCCATCTTTTAGTTCCAGTTGAAGTTTATGTTTATGGTTTTCCCTTATCTGTGGTTTATTACATTTCTAATTTAGTGGTTATGGTGGTATAGTGAAGAGAAAGCACTAGAAGAAACAGACACTGGTACTTTCATTTCTGTTTCATTCAGTGTCTGTAACAGATTGACATTCCTTTCTTCATCTGGTACAAGGAGCAAGCACGCTCCTAAATAAACATGTTGAATCAGGAACAGTTTGGATTGACTTTTGGACATTCAGCCACTAGAGAAAGTTCAGAGGTTGTACAAATAAAAAAATCTGTGAATAGGTTCGTAAGTAAAAGGGACACGGGCCCAATA